CCTGTCGACCTTTCTTAGTTTTCCGGCTGCTGCAATGGTTTTTGGCAGTTGCGGCGAACGTGTCCGATCTCGCCGTGGTTCACGTTTCTTTGCCAGTGACTGTATTGCTTTATTGATCGTTTCTTCCACTACTTTACTGACCTTTTCTTCAAAACTTTCAGAGCCACCTTCCTCTTCGATGGTTCTTACCCGGCTCTCACTGCGAGGTTCCACCATACGTACTCGCGCACTTCCATGACTAGCTTTCTTGGCGGCTTCGAATTCTAACGCATGGGCCAAAGCTTTCTCAATGTTGTCGTGCCTAGCCAGTCTCAAAGCCTGCTGGACATCTCCATCACGAACGGCATCGATAAATGTTTGTACAGCCAGCTGATCAAGAAAGCTCTCCGGTGCCGTAGGGTATGCCAATCGAATCAGTCTAGCGATGTCCGCTTCAAGTTCCTGCAAACTTTCTCCAGGTTTCTGCATTCGGTTCTTGACTTGGACATAGTAAACTTGCTGAAGGTGTTTATCGCCATATCGCATTTCGAGTCGCGCTACTATTTGTTGGAAGTTCTGTTGATCCTCGGGGATAGTCCGCAACACATCCAGAGCATCTCCTCTCAGAGCAAGAATCAGGGCTGTAGTTTTGTCTTGAAGAGTCCATTTATTTGCCGCAGCCGCTGCTTCAAACTGTCGAACGTACGAGGTCCAAGGAATCTTACCATCAAAAGTAGGTGGCTTTATTCGGGCTTGCTGAACGTCGCCTTCTACTCTCGTATTTGTTTCTGGGTTGACCTTCTTGTAATGAGTAGACTGTGGCACCTCAAGAAGACGGTCCATCAGTAATTCATCTGGGGCACTACTAGTACGCTCTTCCGTAGTCAGTCGCAAGAATTATTGCTCGCGCAGCTCTTCATACTTGTGCTCAATCTCAACGAATGTTGCTTTAAATGTTTTGGAAACTTCCGTAATTCTATCTTCAACTTTTTCTTCAATTGATTTAGAGACTTCTTCGATAATCTTTCTAGAATTTTCCTCCATCTTTTCGAACTTCTCGTCCATTTTCTCGAACTTTTCTTCAATATTTCTAGAATTTTCTTCATTAATCCTTCTAGAATTTTCTTCCAACTTCTCGAACTTCTCTTGAATATTTCTAGAATTTTCTTCATTAATCTTTCTAGAATTTTCTTCCATTTTCTCGAACTTCTCTTCAAAATTTCTAGAATTTTCTTCCAACTTCTCTTGAATATTTCTAGAATTTTCTTCATTAATCTTTCTAGAATTTTCTTCCATTTTCTCGAACTTGTCTTCAAAATTTCTAGAATTTTCTTCCAACTTCTCTTGAATATTTCTAGAATTTTCTTGGGTGCTTTTCATTTCTTGTTGCAACACCTGTTGGCCATTTTGGATTTGCTGGAGCAAATTGAGCATCGTTTCTTCCATTTTAGCGGCAGCAGATCTTGTTACAGGCATACACAAGCAGAAGCACTTAATTTAATCTTACTTTTAATTAATTTAATTAATCCCACACCTGACACCAATGTAACGTTATTTATAATTTCGGGTTCGATTTATATCAATATTTATTAAACAAAACTAAAACACTATAAAAACCGTACAATTTATATCGATTATTTATATCACACACTTCGAAATTTATATCAGCTTTTCGCGCTCTATGTTTCGTTCGCACTCGATCTCGTTCGATAGTAGACTCCCGCGATGTTCGGTCCGCAACCATTTATACACGCAAGCAATGTAAGTCCAGTACATTCTCGAATACGCGTAGAACATTCCAGAGAATTCTGGAGCATTTCCGTTACAATATGCTTCTGGAGTAATCTAAATGGATTTTTAGATGCTTATAAGAGTTCAGTAGGTAACCCAAACAATTTTGGTTCCATCTTTAATAATGAACTGCCCGCTGAAAGACAAAGATCCTGACAGGAAATGCCATGGGGCATGAGGGGCGGAAACATATCACTCACTCGTCACTCGCCAGCTTTTATTATTTATTATCCCCCTCTTGTTCTGGGCCCTCAACAGGCTTGCGCCCAATTACAGAGTGACCCGCATAATGCTTTTTAGAGGTGCCTCTGCAGAAGGTATTTATCTTACGAATTAGGAAAACCTAATTCGGAGTAGCCGGCAGAATGATTGAAAGTGGTCTAAGGTAATTTCCATCTCTGCCACAGATGAAAAATTCACCCCAACCCAGGTTCGAACACCCAACCTCCGGATTTATAACTCTACGCTCTACCACTGAGCCATAATGCCGGTGCAAAGCGAAATCGCTTGCGGATTCTGAGCACTTCTAAAAGTGCTCAAGCGGTTTATCGCGAGCGCTCGGGAAAAGTGCTCGTGAGCGGAAAAAGCGCTCGGGAGTGGAAAAAAACATTCGGGACCGAAAAAACGGCGCTTAAGGCTGGACAGTACACCCGTTCCGTTGCCCGAAAACGCGTGATTTCGTTCCACGATATCTTAATTCTGAGTGAAGTTGAAGAAGGGGTCGAATATTCCTGTGAAAGGTGAATGCTTTAGCTAGACAATAACGCCGGGGTTTACTAAAATGTTTTAAAATAATCTTTTTTTTAAGGGCAACGTCGAGGGCTGTTAGGGTGTCATATTTTGGAAAAGAAAAAAGGAAATAAATTTTCCTGGCGTTATTGCCTAGATATTAAGTTTACGAACGTATCTTAATTTTAGAAATTGTTCCAACTTCATTTATAGATAAGTTATCTTGGAAAAACAACTTAAAAGTTTTCCTCAAAAGCGCGAAAAGATAGCTTCCGCCGCGTGGCTGGTTTTATACAGGTAGAAAATATGCATTATAATTGGACTAAGTTTATGTTTTTACCATCGAACACAAATTAATATTATAAATAACCAAATTTGGGGATTGACAATAGGCAACTTTACATACTCCGTTCTGTATGTACTGTCCAGCCTTAAGGCTTGGGCACACAGAAAACGGTCTGTCGCGGCGATCCAGATATAAGTAGATCGCGGTAGACAGCGTTCTGTGTGACAGATGATGCACCACAGTGTAATACAACTAGACCGCCTCGGTCTGAGATCTCAGCCTGCCGCGACTGACCGCTTTCTGTATGCCCAAGCCTTTAATCCTTTAGCGCTTGAGGGCGGTTAAATCCGTTCGTGAGCGAAAAAAAAACGCTCAGTAGCGGAAAAGCCGCTCGCGGGCAGAAAAACACGCTCGAGCGACGAGCACTTTAAGTAAACGCTCGAGTGTACCAAGCGGCCGCTCCGAAAAGTACTCGCGAGAGGTGCTTTTTCCGCTTGGAGCTCTTTTTCAAGCGAAATACTCGTGAGCAGTAAGTACCCAGCTCTGATCAACGACTGTTCTCATATTTTGCTATAGCGACAATAGTGAAACATGTTTGACTTTCGCTTTTGATTTATGCGATCGCGCAAAAATAGGAGGCGCACATCTTTAAAGCCGCTTTACAAGGCAATTTTCGTGCAATGCAAGTTAGAGATACGTTACTGCGCATGTTCATACGCAATTCAGGTGCAAGAAAAATAAATAGAGAAAGTTCTATTTCACTTGCAAGTTTGACGCAAGTTCTAGTAACTTTTCTAGTACTTTTGTCAATACCACAATTTATTTGGTTTCGCGTGTGTCTTTTTTTTTAATAGCAAGCGCCACCACATAACAAGCTGTAGCCAGCTTAATTTCCTTTTGTTTGCTCATACCTAATGGTCAATTTTATTAAGTTGCAAGAATAACCTTCTGTGTAAACCAACTGAAAAGTTTCAACTGCAACACTTTTCTGAACTTGCACAAAAGTTGCAACACAATTGCATTGTTGTAAAACCGTAATAAGCAATGCAAGGCAATTTTAGATTGCATAGCACAAGCCTTGCATTGCACTAAAATTGCCTAATGTAAAGCGGCTATACTGTAAGATAGCGAAAACAAAACTGGCATGACGAAATTATGTTACCTATACTACACAAGTAATTAAACAATGGGTGTGTTCATAAGACAACAATTACTTAAAGTCACTAGATATAAGAAAGTACCGCAATCATCCGCCATTTTTTGGCAAATTTGCTGCCAACTTAAAAAAATTGACAAATAAAATCTGAATAGCTGTAATTTTTTATAACCTAACTTCATATGTAGTACTGTCATGTTTTATAAATATCTCCAAACAGGTGGAACAATCCCTAACATTAAAGTTACTAGAATCTGGTAACTTCCGCCATTTTTGGGCAAAAATTATGCGTTCTCTCTCTAACACGAGCCCAATGGATTGCGGTACTTTCTATATTTAGTGATTTTACAGTTACTGATACGTCTTATACTTACATCGTTACTTTTACTCTCTTTACGGAGTAGTCGGCCATCTTCAGTAGCGATACACATGGCAAAGTATGGATCGTGACAGAAGACCACAACTGTTACCGATACGCTACGAGTTAGCATATTGGTAACTATTGTGTCTTATGAATGAGCCTAAAATGGCATAACCTAATAAATCCTTATGATATAATAGGTTATGCGAAAGTATCACGTTGCTGGCTTGCAATTGAGACTAATCGCGACGTCATTATTTAATAACTAATTGACCGTCATTTATTAACTTTCATAATGTTAATGGAATCATATTATTATAATTTTCTGTTTAATACAAGTTTGCACATGTAGAGTTAAATACCTTTCTCTAATACGTTGTGTTAAGGTGAACCGCCTAACACAAACGAACTTTCATTTACACTCTTTGTGTTAAATTTGTTAGATATATCTACACCTAGTAAACTTTTATTAGAACGTGGACTTACTTCTTTCATAAAACCTCGTCTTACTTTGCACATGCCATGTTATAGTTTTCCAGCTTGTTAGATGCCTTCACTTCCAATTCAATTCAATTAATGAGAACATCTTTCAATAACCAACAAAATCTGGAGAGAAGTTATTATGGTAGCATTAATAATTGTATTTTAAGCTCTCTATAAACACATTCCTTGACAAGTCTTAAATCATATAAGGCAACCTTGTGTAAAACCTTTATTCAAATAATACTAGTACTTACATTACATTTCAGAAATAACTAATTACACTTATTACATAACCATCAATCGGGGCGCAATGTTCATGCTCATCAGTTCTTGGAATAATAATTTAGCAGCATAGGGTAAACGGATTTGAGATATTTGAGTTTTGTTTTTACATCCCTTGCACTCAAATGTGTTATTTCTCAAATTCGCAATGGCAATCAATCCACAGAAGTTACAGATATGAATGCGGTATGGGTCTGATACTTCAAAAAGTCTCTCCCTTAAAAATTGTGCAGCACCATGCGAAATTTGGCAATCCCGCTCCATCTCTCCGAAACGTAATCCACCATCACGGGCACGACCTTCCATAGGCTGACGCACAAGGATCTGTACTGGTCCCCTAGCACGCGAGTGAATTTTGTCGTCGACCATGTGCTTGAGACGTTGATAGTAAGTGGGGCCCAAGAAAATTTGTGCGTTTATTTTGCGACCTGTGTGGCCGTTGTACATAACTTCGTTTCCTCTCAAGTGATACCCGTACTCTTGAAGCAAAGTGGAAATTTTCTGTACATTTACGGCATCATTGAAAGGTGTCGCGTCACCAATTTCGCCTTTATTTGCGGATACCTTTCCTTGAATGCACTCGATCAAGTGACCAATCGTCATACGGGACGGGATAGCGTGAGGATTAATGATAATGTCAGGCGTAATACCTTCACATGTGAACGGCATATCCTAGAAATAGATATCAGTATTTAGACCTTTTCAGTTGAAAATTGATAGCTAAAACGCAAGAGGAAAGTTCTACAGTTATGCTATACATTTCTTCCAGTGCATGTAACATTAGAACACTTATTTCTTAAAAACCCTAAATTTGTTAAGTAACTATATAAAAAGATTTTGTAATTCTACTACCTCAAAATGAAAAAAAAAACAAGTTTTAGTGCGGTTCACTTACTTCTTGGCGATACTGAATACCGCAGGTACCTTTCTGACCGTGTCTCGACGCAAATTTATCTCCAATTTGTGGAATGCGCACTGATCGCACACGAATTTTACAGAATTTATATCCCTCAGAATTCAGTGTTAACATTACTTGATCAACAACACCAGTTTCACTGTTACGTAGAAAAGTTGACGCGTCCCGCTTAGAGAATTTCTTCGTAGTTCCGTCTAACTAAAATGAAAAGGTTTACACTGCAAGGCCGATAAAATTAAATTACCTCGTCGTCGTTTTCAGGAAGAGTCATAGTTTTACCAATTACAACATCATCTCCGGACACACGAATACCAGGGGAAATAATGCCATCGTCATCGAGCTTGTCATAGAGAGCGTTCCTCATGCCTTGGCAAGTTTGTCTTGTAGGTTTCTCAAATTGTTCCTCTTGATCGCCGATCCTTTTGCATTCTGAATCTTTGTACGAACGATAAAAGACAGATCTGAAAAAGCCTCTTTCTACGGCGGAGGCGTTCAAAATAACTGAATCTTCTTGATTGTAGCCCGTGTAACATGCGATCGCGACAATACTATTAATTCCAGCAGGTAACTCTCGAAACCGTAGATACTCCATAGAGCGTGTTGTAACAAGTGGTTTGTGAGGATAATATAACACATGCGCGAGAGTGTCCATACGAACGTGGAAATTTGTAATATATACACCCATGGCCTGTTTTCCCATAGCACTCTAAAAAAATAATTCCATTAATTGTGAAATAGCAATGTAAGAGCGGAATAATTTTGGCGTTGTAGTCTGCCGCGTAGTTAATATTTTTGCGTAGTAGATTTTGTTTACCTTACTGGCATATAAACCTGTTTGTTTTGACTGCCAAGGCCAATATTCATTTAAGCTACATTAATATTTGTACAAAAAACGGGTTTTCTTTACAGACGTATTAACATTCTTTATTTGTGCGATTCTTAGAATTTGTTGCTTAAGGGTCACCAAGAAAAAGTACTAAAAATTTATCAATTTTAGAAGTGGAGTTGAATTTTAATTTAAATGGGCATT